ACGGGGATGGAGCTTGCTAGTGTCTCTGGTAATATCAGAAAACTTTTGCATCTCATTCGAGTCAGCGAAGGTGTTCGATCTGGTATAAGTGAAACAATATGCGAAGAAGACGGCACCTTAATCACCAATCTTCAACGAAGGTTGGAGCGATGGCCCGAACATTTTGGCTCGTAGTTTCGTTGGCCCCCAGCTCTATCTGAAACCACTGGCGCTCGCGCTGGGGCCGAGTGGTTTATCCCCACAGATCCTCATCTTACCAGTAAATCGAGCAGGAGCTCCGCCACATGAAAACTTTATAAAAACCCAGCCCTAATGGTCTTCCTCCAGCTCTCTACTTAAAGATGGCAGCGCTCGCTGTATCGAAAACTCACTGCCTTGTTCTCGAAAATTTGTTCGAAAGAGAAAGTTCCATCATTTTGTTGTAAATGAATAGTCGTCTCCATCTTCAAAAAGTGACTGCGCACAATCTGCTCCATAAGCTTAGTCCCTGTCGTTTGCAAGCTGCTGGTGTCCATCATAATTCGCAGGCTATCCCCAACGCGCGGATCGTTGCAACGAGAAGAACAAACTGGGTTTCGCCTTGGTCGCGGCCGCATCGATCAAATCTTCACACTGCGCCAGATCCTCGAGCTCCGCCATGTATATCAGATGCCAACGATTGCTGTGATCCTGGATATCCGTGTAGCCTTCGATTCTGTCGATCGGACGGTACTGTGGCACTGCCTACTGAGGAATGGTGTCCCCGAGAAGTTCGTCTCCATACTGCGCGCTCCCTATAGTCTGACCTCGGGCAGGGTTAGGGCTTATGGCAAGCTTTCGCCTACCTTTGTGGTCTGCAGTTTAGTACGACCGGGATGCCCAATCTCTCCATTCCTATTCAACTTTGCCACTGAGAATTTCCTAAAGAACGCTCTGGGCGATTCGTTAAACGATGGCGTTGAGCTCCTCACAGGTAGTCGAGTAGTTTATATGGGATATGCTGATGATATTGTCTTGCTGGGTGACGATCCACACGTCGTCCAACTTGCACTAAACCGCTTAGTGATTGAATCGTCAAAGTATGGTATGTACTTCCCGCCATACAAATACAAGGCTCTCTTCAAAGACTGACAGGTGCCTCTGCCTGCACTCATTCTTGGTGGTGTGGCACTAGATGTTGTGGAGAGCTTTGTCTATTTGGGATGTTGCATCACTCTTGGCGCGGCTGTTGGAGACAAGATTTGAATGCAAGAGCACGCGAGCACGCCTCACTTTTCTAGGCTGAGGCACTTGTGGCGTCGCCACGACATTAGTCTCTCCATCAAAGGGCGGATCAATTGTGCAACTGTTCGTGCTGTACTGTTGTACGGATGCGAGACCTTGCCCATTCGTAAAGATGACTTGAGCAGGCTATCCGTTTTCTATCACCGCTGTCTGCGGTCCATTGCCCGTATGTGGTGGCAGCACCACGTAAGCAATGTGGAAGTTAGATAGCGTGTCTTGGAACGTGGAAGCCACTCGCTCGAGAACCTCGTCTCACTGCATCAACTGCGGTGGTTGGGACACGTATTGCGCATGCCTATCCAGCATTACCCGCATCGTGCTCTGTTTGCGGTTGCTGAACATGGCTGGAAGAGACGGTCTGGTGCACAGCCTACAACATGGAGAAGCCGCATGAAATAGCTGACGAACCAGTTAGCCTCGGCCGGTTATTGTCGACTACGTGGTTGGGGTCCGAGAAATGCGCATACTTGCTGGTTGAAGACCTTGGGAGCCATGGCTCAAGATCGATGTCAATGGCGGACGTGTGCATCGGTGTGTTGCGGTGTCCCTTCTTCCTCCCCTAAAACAGAACAAACTGAGAAAAATGATATTCATGCTGTTCTCTGATTCAGCCATGATTCCGATGGAACAATATCTGTACCACAGATTTTGTAATGTATATATATATATATATATATATATATATATATACAGAATCTTTGCATTTTTTCTGTACGCGTGCCTGCGTGTTTAGCTGCTTGCATTTCAGGTGTTGGCCGTTGTTTCATATCCCGGTGTGGTTGCGCTTAATGTGCATGTTGACAAGGTGCCTACCTGTCTAACACCATCCACTTTCTTATATAACGAATCCAAAAGACTAAAACGTTACTGCGGGGTCGGGATGCACGGTTCTGCTAACCGCGTTACGCTCAAACTGTGGTTCTATCCAGTGTGGAGTGGACTGCGGCCCAGCCACCGTATTGTGTACTGCTAGTATGCATGATTCCCCACATAGATAAGCATGAATGCTGCTGCTGTGTACGTTCAAAGAGTGTGGACCGGCTTCGTTGATGAAACGTGGCTCCCATCCACGTTCCTCGCGGTCTTATTCCTTTGAGTCTACACTGGATATGGGGTGTGTGGACGGAGCTGTGGGTGGTGCAGCACAAATCACTCATTGTCTCTCTGTAGGCGCAGGCGTCCTATGGCTGTCCTATGGAGGCCGCAGTAACAGGTAAGTCCAGCATCTGGTGCTGCCATCCATGTAGGGGTGTTGCTTGTATTAGTATATGTGCTGTTCTGTTTGTCATTGTGTTCTGTCGGGTCGTCAATGTGAGATGGGATAAAAGAAATCTTCACGATGGATGGATAACGTCCAGGGATTGGAGATCTTTTGGAAACGCAAGTAGCATTGCCATTATTTGTTGGCAGGGATGACGTTTGTCAGAAGGAACCCGGCCACGTGATGGAACACTGCCACCGAACCATTCGCTTGAACGAGATTGACCCCAAACACCAGGCTCGTACCAAGAGGAGGTTGCAGGTTAAGGAAGCAAGCACAAGTTTAAATCTGTACAACATCATGGAAACATAATAAGAATGTCATAAGACGCATTTACCACCCGTTATCGCTAATAGTACTTCGATTTCTTATGTAGCATACGAAGATGTCTGACTTACAGTTTCACTCGGCTTACCAATGTAAGATGTCATTACCAGTGTGCAATCGTTTTCTGTATCGAATGGTGCTGAAATGTAAATCCAACTGCCTTCGGAATTGCTGCACAGACTTGGCCTCTACTACCTATACTGGCAAATTGTTCCAGACACTTACACTTCTCCATTCGAAATACAAGGGATGGGAGACTAACTTTTTATCCGACGCCACAAACTTGTACTGGTGTCAGAGTGTGCTGTATGGCGTTCGCCAATGAAGCAGCGGCCTTAACATGCGGAAGCCACCGATATGTAATATGCGGTAGGTCACGATGAGATCGATTCGCACATGACGATAGAACTAGGTGTAGAGCCCTAAACATGGAATGAGACTGTCAGCGACTTGATGGACCCATTCAATCAAGTGTGCCTCGCCTCGCGCGATTAGACAATAGGTTGGCGAGCCGTACTCGAGTATTGGTCTTATGCTGGAAAAGAAGAGGTGAGTGGTGCACTCTTCTGGTCAACTACAGAAACTGCGTTTGAGCGCCGAAAGAATGTGTAGTGCGTTACGATGGTGCTTGTTTCTGTTGTCCATGGACTTCAAATCACAGCGCGAGAGTACACCTAGGTCATTCAGCAGTTCTTCACTAACTCAACCAAATGCGAGCACGCCTTCCTTACCTTTGTATGTATGATTCAATAGTACGCAGGGTAATATAGACAACAGAGGAAGATGAATGTCAGTACGACAGATATGCTCCCACCCAGTGACAACATCACTGAGCAGAGCTAAAATGGGGTCTGCGCAGCTTGTATGGGGTGTTGGATGAGAGCTCGAGTTATACACTGTGCGCTCTGGATTGGCACGTAACAGCGGTGTCAATGAAGGAGGTCAGCCGTAACCTGTACAGTTTGAGTCGCCTCATGATGAGAATATTGCTGGAACTGCCAGGGATTCAGGTTCAGATGAGCCCTGTTTAACTTTAGCGGGACTTTGCGATCTTCGGATCAATTTATACGAACCTCTACCCTCCCACTCGCTAACAAGCCAATCCTGCAAGAAAAGCCGTGCGACATTCGCGAGGGCCACTGCCCAATAAAAATTCGCTGCGGTAAACCGCGGGTATTATACTCATTTTGTGAATACAACACTTATAGAGTAGGAAACTAAAAATGATAAGGGTTCCTGACGAAAGTAGCTGTTTGATTTAATTGTTATTTTAGTTAGCTATATAAATGCACAAAGATGAATGACGAATGGTGTGGACAGAACCTACATGTGCTTCGTTGCTCTTAGGCGCCCAACAGGGCTATGCCCTAGTCCCATTTAACATATTTTCTTCCTTCAACGATCAACAGAATATTAAATTGGAGCACGCAAACAAAGCTACTTGACAGCTGTTTTGGAACAAAGGATGGACAGTCATAGAGGCTTACAGAATCAAAACGGTGACTTGGCAGTGATCAAAAATATATTAATGGAAATGGGATAATGTTATACCTTTCACGAATTGGAGTCCCTATTTGATTGTAGCATATCTTCACTGGCTTTTTCTCGCTAGCCAACTATTTTAGTATATATATATATATATATATATATATATATATATATATAAATGATATCCTACTGATCCGTGCATTCCAGTTCTCACAGATAGCTTTTGGTCACCAGTCACAAGCATGATAGCCGTCTTATCACCGGAATGTCCTCGTCATTAACATTGCTAATTGTCACTTTTGTAATGGTGCATCTTTTGTTTCCCGATTGTTAGCTCTTTCAATTTCGATGGTTTTGCCATTTTGTCGATTACTTTCCTGAGTTTGATATCAGGTTTCCAAGATTGTACTAGAAGTAACCTCAGTTATGTATATCTGCATAGGATTTTCACTTCTAGAATCGTTCCCAATATTCTTAATATACACGCTAGTTTCGTAACTCAGGATCCATAGACAAAGGCAAGTTTGTGAGTGCAGGCAGTTCAGCAGATAAATAAACGCGCCTTCAGTTTCCACGGATATATATATATATATATATATATATGCAATGTATACGAAACGCCGTGCCATGCATCTACATTTTTTAACTCGTTTTGACTTACTGCATTAAACTGGCCCGCTCAAAGTAGGTGATTGCTTTCTCACTGAACTGTGATTCGATGTAGTATGCCCCGAGCCATTCAATCACGTCGAAGTTGCATGGAAAGTATTTGAAAGACTGCCACATAGGTCGGTCATGTAGGACAAGTGGACCGAAAGTAGGGAAATACAGCGGCAATGAATGGTAAGTAGTGAAAATAGTATGTGTAGATTGAACTGAACTGAATTTTTAGGGGAAATAACCGAAAACCCTCCTCCATTTCACTTTGGAGCTTCATCAAACCTGACAGTTGTAAGGAACCTAGGAAGACGGATTTTTAGAACTACCAAACAAAAGCCAGTCAAATGCACCAGACTGTGAGGAGTAACTAACCTAGGATTGGATGACATAGTTTTATTGCCACAAATTGAGGACCAGAATGACCTAGAATTATCCGCGTCGATTGACAGGCGTTGATCTATGGGAAAGCGTTTGAAACATTAAAGTGCTTCGTGCCCACCCGGCTTTGTGATTTTGCGACATGAATGAATTGGATTGGTCCGACTAACGAAACACAAGACAGGTGATGAACTGTGCGCAGCTAGCGATCTTATCATCCAATTCATCAGGCCACATGAGACAGTTTTACGTGCGCATTGGAACACATGTTATCCCATAGACCCACCATCTACCAACAACAGATAGGCTCTTCGAAATTCCACTTTCATTCTCGTCAGTGAGCCGCGTCAACGTATCCGGCGTTGTAATGCCTTACACTTGTCACGACTATATAGATTTATACTGCATGAATCGCATGGTTATTCCGGTTTTCCAGCGCTTGACCATCGGTCATTAGGAGAAAGAGATGTAGGACAACAGAAAAGTTGCACGTTCAACAGATCAATCTATATCTTTAAAAATTACCTGTGGATGTGGTCGGTAAAAGCCAATTTACCCATGTTAGCAGCCATAAGCGACTGGGGGCTACTAAAGCCTTACTAAGCGCTTACCACATACGAGTACTCACGTCGTAGTAGTACGAGAAGGCTTGTGATTTGTCCCCCTCTTGTTCGTAGTTATCACCCAGGCGCTGAAGCAGGAAGGGATCGGACGGTACCAGGCCGTGCAGCTGCATTGCCCTGTGAAATGAAGAGGTGAAAGTAAAGGCGGAAGTCAGTTTTAAGAAATGTAATCCAGCCTACCGCTAGATATTTGGAAAAGTCGTTGAATGGAGGGCAACTTCACTGATGTACTGGGCACCTATGGGGGTATAGAAGGCCATACCAAGGGCACAACTCAAACCGCTACTAACTGATCATTCTCGAACGGCTGCCACAGCTCCGTGAAGCGACGGTTTGGGCGCTGGAATTACTTTCACTTGCACGTTCAGGACTCACGCTACAATTGACACAAGAGTGAATGACACTGCTTCATTCTATGGTAATATGTTCATCATGTAGTTGTAACTATCCACCGCACCTATTGCTGGTCCACGGTTCTCATTCCCATCACTGTCTCCATTTGGTGTAACGATGTGAAACTGTACATTGTCGCGTCCTGCAGAAACGTTTAACTGAGTTCATCATATCAGTCAGTCAGACAAACGTAACCCCCTATGGATTGCTGAACGCCGAATTGTAACTGTGATGGTTGAACCGCTGAATTACCTCATCAGGCGATAAAGAGTCGTGCACCACACCAAACTTGTGTACATCGCAAGAAGACACACAGACCAAATATTAAGCTATCACAGCACCCATCCATTGAACCGCAAGAAAAGCTGTATCCAAAGCCTTTTCAAAAGAGCTGAAACACATTGCAGCATGACGGAATTGTAAAAAAAGAAGAGAACCACATGTACCGAGTAGTTCAAAACAAAGCATATCCAATAAATTTTACCCGAAGAAGCCTGATTAAAAGCGTGCTTTCACAACAGAGAGAACAGGTAGATAAACGTAGCTAAAAGTGTCCGAACTAGCAGCGAGATTGCTATGACCACATAGAATTCTGGTAGCACATAAACCGAATGCTACTTTGATAGGATTTCTTTAAAGACCGAAAGACAAAGTCAGACAAAGCAGTCAGAGCGATCTCATCTATAAAACAAACTGCAACAAAATGTGACAAAAACTACATCGAACAAACTGAGCGGAAACCCTTGACACGCGCCAGGGAACAAAAACTGATCACAAGGAGACATAACCCACATTCCTGAGTTTCTATACATGAAGATTAGGAAGGCTATTACTTCGTGTTAGAGAAAGTGAGGCGCCTAGAACGGGAAGATTCGAAACAAACTAGAGAATTCTTGGAAGCGTGACATTCAACAGCCAATGCAATCAACCGGCAAGTCGAAATAAATGACATATACGCCTGCCTTCATAAACCCAAGTGCGCTCCCAGCTTGACCACATAGCAATCAGCTACAGATGGCGCGGAAGCGTAACGGACTGCCTATCGTACTGGTCAAAGTATCTAGACACCGATCATGCATTGTTTCGTGCTATGATGTGCATGCGATTTGGAGGATCACCTAAGCGCGCTCACTCCCGACCGGACGTCGCAAATCTACAAAACCCTGCGATTTTAACCAGCTACCAAGCTTTACTGTCAACCTTGCTTGGTTTAACTATTGACGGTGATCTCCATTCGCAGTGGGCGCAGATCAAAGATGCTTTAGTTTCTGCCAGTATCAACAATTGTGGAGTTGCCCGCCACCCACCGAAGCACTGGATTTTCACCGTCTCCTTGTCTCTGATGGACAAACGCCACTTGATCCCGTCGGATTCCAGACACAGTGAAGAACCACAATCCTTGGTCGAGAGTTGAGCAGGAGTACGGTTTGCAATTTGCCATCAAAATGCAATGTTCTCTTCCAAGACTGGCAAGTGCCTTTGTCTGCACTCATTCTTGGTGGTGTGGCACTAGATGTTGTGGAGAGTTTTTTCCATTTGGGAAGTTGCATCAGTGCTGGCGATGCTGTTGGAGACGAGATATGAATGCGCATCTCGAGATCACGCCTCGCTTTTTCTAAGCTGAGGCACTTGTGGCGTCGCCATGATATAATGAATAAATAAATAATTATATTCGTATATTAACCGCCATCAATGTGCGCGTCTATTGTGCAACTGTTCGTGCTGTACTGTTGTACGGATGCGAGACCTGACCCATTCGTAAAGATGACTTGCGCAGGCTATCCGTCTTCCATCACCGCTGTCTGCGGTCCATTGCTCGTATTTGGTGGCGGCATCATGTAAGCAATGTTCGACAGCGTGTTTTGGGACGTGGAAGCCACTCGCTCGAGGAGCTCGTCTTACTGCATCAACTGCGGTGGCTGGGACACGTATTGCGCGTGCCTGTCCAGCGTTAACCGCGTCGTGCGTTGTTTACGATTGCTGAACAGGGCTGGAATAGACGGTCTGGTAGACAGCGTGCAACTTGGAGAAGCCGCATGAAATAGCTGACGAAACAGTTGGCCTCGGCCGGTTACTGTCGACTACAGGTTGTGGTCTAATAGTTGCGGATAATTGCTTGTTGAAGATCTTGGAAGCTATGGCACAATATCGATGTCAATTACGGATGGCTGCATCAGTAGTAGCGGGGTCCATGTTTCCTCCCCCCCCCCAAAACAAACTGTAAACATATTGGAAGACTGTGAGTTACACACTGGATAAAAAAGCTTTCTTTGCTGTTGCTGTTACTATTTTTTATTATGCATCATGTTTTCCTATTCAGCCGTGATTCTGATGACACAACAGCTGCACTTTAGGTTGTATATATATATATATATATATATATATATATATATATGGTGTGCTAGCGACAGTCGTACACAGTTGGAATATTCGAAGCAGCTTGGTATGATGGGGCTGGCGAATCAGCTCTTCAAGATATATTTCAAGGTACCCATGTGTTAATCTGTTGGACATTTTTTCCGTCTGCTTGTTAGGCTCGGTTAGCGGCATCTATGTCACAGTTCCCTTTGTCATTAGCGGCGTACTGTTGCAGAACATGATGTGTTTGATCATGGTTATGCACGCTCAAGTAGTGGTTCCATCTTGTTTGAAGGGGCTACGGTCCAGCCGCCGACATGTGTACGTCTGGCATGCATGATTTCTCAATTAGACCCGAATGTTTCTGTTCTGCTTGTTGAAGGAGTGTGCGCCGGCTCCGTTGATGAAACCTGGCTCCCATCCACATGCCTCCCGGTCTTATTCCTTCGGGTTTACACCGGATTTAGGGTGTCGTTGAAGCTGTGCGTGGTGCAGCGCAATCCACCCAACGTCTCGCTGTAGGGGCAGGCGTTCTGTGACTGGCCACAGTGACAGAAAAATCCGAAACCGGATGCCGCCAACCATGTATGTATGTGTGCCCCATGCTGAGGCTGATGTTGCATTCTTGATGCCTCTTCAACGCAGTTTGGCTAAACCAACTTACACGTAAACTTGGTCTTTTTATGCTTGCTAAATTTCATTCCACTTCATTTGGTTTGTTCTGCCTACCTGAAGAATATTCTCTTAACTGGCCACGTTGTTTACGTTAATTGCGCTTATCTTCAGTAACTTTGTTGCGCTTTTAGCATTTTTAAGTATCTTGTGGACGTTTTTTCCTTATCGCGGATTCGTTGCTAACCAACTTACTTCATATGCTGATTTAGCGAGGAGTTATGCCACCGTATCTATATGCATTATTGGATTTATTTTATTTCGTCTTGTTTCAAGTGATTGGCTGTTGCTTGATATCCACGGTGGGGCTGCGCTTGATGTGCATGTTGATAAGGTGTCTACCTGTCTATTACCCACTACCTCGTCCATACTGGCTCTAGGAGACAGTTGGTTGTTGCTGGAGGGGACGGGGTACACGGTCCTTGTGGCCGTGTTAGGATCAAAGAGTGGTTCCACGCACTCAGTGTGGAAAGGACTAGGATCCAGCCACCGCCTTGTGTGTGCTTGGTTCCCAAATACAGCGTGCTTGTGTTTGCCTGTGAAGGAGTGTGGGCCGGCTCCGTTGATGAAACGTGGCTCCCATCCACTTGCCTCCCGGTCTTATTCCTTCGGGTTTACACTGGAGATGGGGTGTGTGGTTGCAGCTTTGGGTGGTGCAGCGCAAACCACCCATGGTCTCTCTGTAGGCACAGGTGTCCTGTGGCTGACCACAGTGACAGGCAAATCCGAAACCGGATGCCGCCACCTATATATATATATATATATATATATATATATATATATATATATATATATATATATATATATATATATATATATATATATATATATATATATATAATACTGTACTGCTGTTGTTGTTGTGTGTATCGGAAACTTCTACACAACCCCCCTGATACATCATCATCCGAACTGAAGCTTTTACTTCAGCAACTCACCTTGGTATTCTTGCCGAAACTAAAATGCACTGTCTGCATTGTCGCCGATGACTTTAATAAATGTGGTACAACGTTCTTCAGGTCACTTGATTTGGCAACTTCAGTAACTTTCCCAACCAGACAAGATGCACAGCTTGATGTTGCTTACACTAACGAAATTCGTTTGTTTTCCATTCAAAAGCGTGCACTACTAATCAACCCGGACCATTGTATGCTAAAGATTTTCCATACCATCTGCAGTGAAACTAACAATACTGCATTGATGAAACGACAATTAAGGACCATCCGATTACGTAATTGTTCAGTGGAAAATATGGCACGACTTCAAGAAATGCTTTCCTCAATCGATTTTTCAGTTTTAAAGCTGAAGAATCGCCCTTCAATGCGAACATCTCACGAGTTACGTAAAGCTTTGCCTCAACTTATACTGCCCTCTCGAGACGATCTACATGCGAGCAGCTAAAATTTCTTCACCCATGTTGAAACAACTTCACAGAGAATATAGTACGTGTATACAAGCTCAAAATGGTCACCCGAGTCAAAAGTCTAACCATTGCAATGAAAGCTTAAATAGCTAGACGAAACTGTTTTTACGTTACAACAGTACTGGAAAACCGTAACTGCCGGGAACTCTATAGGTTGTTGAAGCAAATCTGTGGTAAAAGCACCATCGGAGGTACAGGAATTTTGGATGTTGACAAACTCAACTGTGAATTTAGTTCCTCTCCGTCGATCGCTTTTCTATTGCTCGCATTC